CTGTGTGTGAATGTACTGTGTGCTGTGTGCACTTGCGTTTAGAAGTGCTTGCATGAGTGGGTGTGAATGAGGCATGTTGTATACAGTGGAGAGTAAAAAAGCGCTATATAAGAATCAGTCCATTTACAAATATTAAAATGTATTACAATTAAATATGCTATAAAGTTATAGCAGTGTTACATTTCGCACAGCCTGATAACTAAATTTCAAAATTAAGCTGATGCCTGCTCTATAAATTAGCTAGTGAGTGTAAGAGGCAGAACTCAGGATGAAACAAGGAGCATCCACAAATGTATTAATGAATTTATAGATGAATTGCTGCAAAAGTACTCTAGACAGCTAATTTCAGAAGACACACACAAAGAATTATATTTGATTTAATCCATTAAGGGTAAAGGTCCCTGTTTATCAAAGATTTAACATGTGACTAGACATGTGATGTCAAAACATAGGGTTATCATGTTAGAACATTTGATGAATAACGAAGACCTGAAATATGCAGCAATGTTGTTTTAGTTTGTAGTAGTTCATTCATAAACAACAAATTTCAACATCTGTTCCTGTGTTTAAGAAAAAACATACTTTTATTAAGATATTGAAAAGCTCTGGAGTCACAGGAATGACAGTTCTGTCCTTGTCACAAACAATCTTAGATCCCACCGGAGTGTTTTCCTGAGTGACAATGGCATTGTTGGATCCATTGCAATTAAGCCTCAGCTGTAATCTTGTGGAAAAAAAGACAAAAATATAAATAAATAAAGTTAGCTTTAGTGTTAAGTGGACAGATTTGCAATTTCTAGAGTTAGAGTCCATCTGTTTTGTCATTTTCATTTCTGCTAGTTTTGTATAAAAAGCTTTTGTTTTATTTAAAACACTATAATCATTACAGTTTCATATCAATTTCCAAAGAAGGTTGTTAGAAATGTAAATTAGGCTTACTGTAAGAGTAAAACACTTTGGGGAACAAAAATTTTAATAATGTAGTATTTGAATAGGCTTCAGTGGTTTTAGCCAAAACAGTTATGTTGTTTTAGGAAACTGAAAATAAAAGCCATTCAACCACAGGCAGGTACTGATACAGCACACATTTACATGTATGACAGACAACAGCCTTTCTTTTGTCTTTATATTTTATATTAACTTATCTATTGTTGTACATTATATTTACAGTTAGTTTTTTTTATGTTTCTTTTTTTTTCTTTTGACTAATATTGACTCAAATCTTCAAAAAATTATATACACACAACCAGTTGTTCAGTTGATCAAAAATAATTTAACATTTGATTGACAACCAGTTTCACACCCCGCTGAATTCATGAAAAATTAAAAAGTACTAATTTCAGAAGCTAACTCAAAGTGTTTGTATTTTATTTTATATCTTTTTGCTGTCATTTCAAAATGTCAGTGCAAGTAAAGGAGGCCATTGTTTAGCTGAAAAAGAGAGAGCAAAACCTTCAGGCATGTACTAATCAACAGACTGGTTCATTCATTAAAAGAAGAAATCCAGTGAAAATCAATGTCACTGCCAGTCATTTATCTATCTCTGGGCCTAATAAAAATAATCTTATACTCCTTGAACTCGTTGTTTTTTTTCAGCGATGGTAGGGTCATTATGCTAATTACAGACAGGGCAAATCCAAATATTGGCAAATAACACAGAAATTACAAAAAAAACAAAAACAAACAATAAAAAGAATCGAAATGCCTGATAAATATTCTGTTGTCTGTAGAGCACCATCAAACTCATTACTCTCTCTTCTTTCAACCATCCTTCATCTTCTTGGGGCTGCTGCTATGTGGGATTACTGTAATGACCCTAATGTCAAATATTTCACTGAAAAAAATCAGGAACAGTTGGAGTTCTTTTGTTTGAACAAATAGTTCAGGCGTTAATAGAGTTATAGATATTGAAAAAAATCCAAAAAGCTGTTGTCTGACACCAGCAACAGGTTAGACTTTAGAAAGTTAGCACAAGATCTCATTTAAAGACCCTTAGAAGTAATCCTGCTTTGTCTGCATTTGAGGCTTAATCTCAGGTGGTTCCAATAATCTACCATCTTATGTGGTGTTTGCTTGTACTCATATACTAATTTTAGGCAGTCTGTGCCAAAGTGAGTGATAAGTGATAAACTGTTCAGACTACTTCCATCAGGAAGGAGGTTCTGCAGCATCCGGTCCCGTACCAGCAGACTGAGAGACAGATTCTTCCACGAGGCCATCAGACTGCTTAACACGTCATAGAAACCTCACCTTCACTACTGGAACTTCAACATTATGCACTCCATACTGTACAGTAATGCCTCTGTTTTACACATGTCTCAACTCTGTATATTTTTATATATTTTA